CACACACACACACACACACACACACACACACACACACACACACACACTAATGCAGTGTCTACATCTGTAATACTAGCACTTCTAAGGCAAAGTGGGAGGCAGAGAGGAGAGAATCACCAGGCGCTCACAGGTTAGCTAGCCTGGAGTGTGCCAAGTGGAAGAAACATGGAAAGAGAGACTCAGAAAGTTACACTGTGGCATACAGAGTGGGTGCTACAGCCTGGGTGCTACAGCCTGGGTGTGCCCTCCGATCTCATCCCCCGCTCTCTCACACACAGACGAATAATGTGGAGAATGACAAAGATGTCTAACGTCCAGCTCCAGTCTCCACATGCAAAAGTGCATGGGCCTGTGAACACATATGTAAACATACTCCACGCTAAAGTTTATATATATGAAAAGCTGAACCAAAATCTCTCACTAAAGCCAAATCAGTTGCTCATCATTTTGCTGTGTGGGTAGGGTTATTTACTTAAATATTTTATTTTAAAAATATATATGTAATATGTTTTTATTTTTTGTTCATTTGTTGTAAAATGTGTGTGTTTTTTTTTTAATTTAAATGTTTCTTCTTCTAATGTCTTTTTTTTTCCTTACAGACAGTAACTAGTTCTCTTAACTCCCTGCCAGCCCTCTTCCCAGTTTCCTGCTCAGTCCCTTCAAAAGTTTCTCCTGACAGGTCCTCCCTCAGTTTCCCAACAGTCTGGTTAAGCAGTCCCTTCTAACAGTTTTCCCATCTCCACACTGTAACAACTGTTCTAACCTATCTGCTCAGCTCTGCGTCCCCCAGCTCAATTGCCACCAGCTGCTTTCTCTTTTCACTCTCATAGGCCAATTCACTATCAACTGTCTCCTAATGATGTGTTCTCTGGCTCAGTTGCCCTCTCTTCTCCCACTACTGGCCCAATACCACTCCCAGTCCTCTTTCTTAGCTTCAGTTGGCTTTTTTATATCCTCTCCTGTTCTCAGAAATCCAAGAGGAAATCAACTCTGAAAGTCATAGGGTCAAGCAGTTCTAACAGCTAAGACTTCTTAAAGGGCCCACTGACTATCCACTGTGGATCCTCTAAACGGCCAGGTACAGAAAAGAAATCACACTACAATTGGCATTTTGCCTGAATGTATGTCTGTGTGAGGGTGTCAAAAGCCCTGCAACTGAAGTTACAGACAGGTGTGAGCTGCCATGTGGGTGCTGAGAATTGAACCCGGGTCTTCTGGAAGAGCATCTTGTGCTGTTAACTGTTGAGCCATCTCTCCAGTCACTACTTAAGTATTTTCTAACTCAATTCTTTACCTGTAAAAATGAGGATAACACCTTCATAGGGTTTTTGTGAAGTTAAGTACTTGCAACACATTTGAAACTTATCTGTCACATAGTACCCAAGGGAGTCTAATGTGGGGCTGGAGAGATGGTTTAGCAGTTAAGAGTGCATACTGCTCTTCTAGAGTGCCCAAGTTCAGTGCCTAGCACTAATGTTGGACAGCTCATAACTGCCTGTAAACACCAGCTCTAAGGGATCTGATGCCCTCTTCTGGCCTCCTGGGCACTGCCCTCATGTACACAAACCCACACAGGCACACATATATACATATTAAAAAATAAAAATAAATGTTCAAAAGGGATTTTAGCTGTTATTGTGGGTCTGTGAGTTCCTTTTGACTAGAGGGCATAGCCTGGGGACCAGGAGAAACAGATTGGGCTCTGGGCTCCTCACACTTGCTCCCAGATCCTTAGCTTAAGGGAGTTACAGGCAGCTGCTCACGCTGCTCAGGTCTCATGATCTTCCCGTCACCTTCAGACCAGGTTTTCTTTCCTAGGGTGCTCCGATTCTTATGAAGATCTGGATGGTGTCTCAGGGAAGGATCTCTGCCTACGGCCTACTGACATTCAGACGAAAAACGTTTCTGCTCGATGGAAGAAGAAACAACTGGATTCAAATGAAATAACTGAGATTGTAGACTTGTCTCCTCCTCAGACGAAAAGCATCAAAATACCTTCTATCTATGATTTTGAGGATAGGGATTTTGCTCTTGTTATCAAATCAGCTAAGCCAGAAAACAGTGGTCTGTACTGGCTGGAGATCACCGACAGCAGTGGGACAACTTGCTGTAAGAACTTCCAGATTAGTATATTTGGTAAGTTTTTAGTACTGCCCACTCTGCCCCTCTGACTCCTGTAGGACTTGCATTTCTAGAACCCTCTGATTGGGATCTCTGCTTCCAGATCATGTCGAGAAGCCTTACCTGAAGGGCGAGTGGACGACCTGGGCTAGTGGGACGTGTCAACTGTCTTTGTACTGCCTGGTGCCCAAGGATGACAATGTGAACTATACTTTGTACAGAGGGAGCACACTGATCTCGAGACAGAGGAATGGTACCCATCTGGAGAGTCAGGCTGATGCCAGCGGCCTGCAAACATACACCTGCAATGTTAGCAACAAAGTCAGCTGGGCAATCGTCACCCTGAACATCACCCAGGGCTGTCAGAGTGTCGATCCGAGTAAGTGGGGCATTTTGGCCCATGGCAAGGACCCCACAACCAGACCCACATGAGACTGGGGTATAAGGTCACATGGCCTTCTGGCTCATGGCCTTGGGTGCTTCCTCAGCAGGTGCCTGGCCTCTCTGGTGCACAGGCCTGTCCTAGCCTGGCAGGATTTATATCTTCTCCTTCTATTGGAAATAATAGTTTTCCTTCCTCATAGGGAATACGTAGTTGTTTAGTGACTTGTGATGCCCCGAACATTATCTTCCTAATTTGAGGGACTGAGACCCATTTTCTCCTGACTGATGTCTTCCCTCAAGCTGGAGAGTGTTCTGAGACATATACTGACACTATACCTTGTCAGTGGGGCAGCAGGAACATGCCAAGGTACTTTGCCGAGTTCTGGATTTATTGCTTATCCTGGGTTACCTGAGTTAAGGCTGTGTCACTTTGTATCAGATAAAGGCTTAATGTGCTATCTGCATAGCACTTACAGGAAAACTAATCCAGTTCAACCCAACCCAACCCACCTAACCTACTTCACTCACCCTATCCCACCCAATTCAATCCAACCCATCCAACAGTCCACCCAACCCAATCTAAGCCCCCCAACCCAACCCACCTCATCTAAGCCAACTGACGCGCCCTTAGAGGTCTTTTTCTTAACTCTATTGTATTTGCAGTGTTTAGGCCTCTACCTCCTTTCCACCCATCCTCCAACCTTAAGTTGAGAGAGAAAAGGTTAGTGGGCAGAGGGGGCCCTGACCCCTTTCCTTCTCACAACTATTTAGGGTCAAGGAGTTCTTTCAGGGCCCTGTACCAATCTCCTCCATGCCACTGCGCTCCGAAGCGTTTCCCTCCGTCTGTCTGCTTTAAACCATCACACCTCCTCTGTCTCTGGTTTCTCCAAACTGCTCCACACCCCATGCCAAAACATCCACTCACCCCCCCCACGCTACCCACCTCACCCAACCCGACCCAACCTATCCAGTCCAACCAGGGAGTCTCTATCCTTAAATTTACAGCAGAAAATGTCCTTATCTCCTTATCTCCTTTCGGCTCAGGTTTCCACCATGTTAAGTTTAGGGTCATGTAGTGTATTTTCTTGTCTTGCGGTCGGGCCTGGCTCCCCTTTCTCAGAGGAAAGCACTGAGAAAGCAGAAGGAATAGGCCCTCAGAACCTTTCCTGGGAGCACTCCTTGGGTTCTCACAGGACTGGACTTGATGTGTTCCATAGGCCACATCCAGGCCTGAACTCTGGATGTGTGTCTGCTACTCTAGGCACAAGGAAGCAGGCATTGCTGTGGGTGAAGCTACCAAGGAAGTGCATCTCTGCCCAGACAGTGTCCTGTGCCACTACTCCACTCAGCGGCCCCTTTACTTCAGTGAGAGATCCCAAGTATGTGCAATTTCCAAGTTCTTAGCAAGCAGCGCCCAATTCTTAGCCTCCAGAAGCTGGCTGTTGAGAGAGCAAGGGAATCTCTCCTGTAGGAATCCCAAGCTGGGATCCCTCTGTGGAACTACAGACCTGAACAGGACTAACTCAAAGGGTAGCTACCGAAGGAGGAAACGGAAGTAATAAACTAACACTACAAAGAATCTCCCTGCCTATAAGTTTGCCTAAAAAAAATTAAGTTACACAAAAGAGAATGCAGGAGAAGCAGCGCCTTCCCTGGGCAGTTCCAAGGTCACTTACACTTGCCCGTTTGGCTCCTTTTCCACACCAAAAGGAGCATGTCTCTGCTGGGAGGTTTCAAGAAGAGGACCCTAGCTGATAGTTGCTCTCTAAGCTCTTTCCCCACCTTTTATCAGGGAAAGCACCCTTCTCCCAGGCACCCAAGGGGACTGTGGTTAACAGCTGAAATCAAGAGTAAAACTGAAAATATATTTTCATTGTAAATGTCCCCAAACAACCAAACTTGCAGTTTCTGTCTCTGTAAAACATGTTTAATTGTTCTAAGTTTCTGGTACCTAAAAGAGATTTACTGGTGAAAGGCATGTGTGAAAATGCGTTGTTATAGTTTAGAACCTATATAAACGGTGAAGAACCTCTGAGTAGGACCGCTTCCTCATTGTGCATTAGCCAGAACTGGTTCTACTCTATGAAATAATAGAACTTTCCTCAGAAAATTCGGGGGGGGGGGGGAACTAAGTTATTTATGGGCAGAAAATAACCAAACAGGAGTGAGGCAAGGTGTAGTTACAGGAGCAGTGGTTTGGGGGGGGGGTCCAGACCATTGTTGCTTAATCATTTATGTACTAACTGTGATCCCAGGAAGAGTCATTCACTTCTGTGAGTTTCCATTTTTCCCTTTGGGTAAATGGGAGTGATAATAAGCAGTACCTCACAGAGTTGCGGTTACGATCAGATGAGATATTGTTTATGAAAAGCTCATTAGTGAACACCTGTAGTACAAAATCCTTTACCATTCTCTTCTTGTTAGTTGGGTTATAAATCAGGGCCTCTATGTGTAACACAAATGACGAACGCAGAAGTTCAAATGAAGAAGAGAAGTGACAGCAAAAGAAATAGAGAGGAGAAAGAGAAGGCTTGTAGCAGTAAGTGTGTGGCGAGTATTTGCTGGGTTACAACGGTAGATGGAACAGTTGCCATGTGAGATGTTTTACGGGCACCAGACCATGTGACTAGCTCTTAGAAAGAGGAAACATCATCTTCTTTTGTTAGGTAAGAAAATTACTTCAGAGAGGTAAGTAGGTAGCACCGGTCCTCTGGAATTTATAAGCTGGACCAGTCTGTCACCCAACTGAGTAGGAACTACAAGAGTGATGAATTCATAGGATGTGAGGAGACAGGCCACATAAGAGAGGATAACGGTTTGGGGATAGCTCCTGAAGCTAATGAATGGGAAAGCGAGGACTCAGTCCTCCCACCTTCTGTGTCCCTCAGAATTCATATTTCTGCCCTTTGTGGTGATCATCGTTATTCTGGCCGCACTATTTCTCGGTGCCATCATTTGCTTCTGCGTATGGGATAAGAAGAGAAAACAGTCACGTAAGTAGAAGCCCCTGAAGGGATGCTGTTGCTTGAGGCATCAGGTCCAGTGGGTTGAGCCTGTGTCCATGGGCTGTATTCTGAAAACAGCATCTCCTTTTCTTGGGAGAGGTGTTGGGATATGTGTGAGTATGGGGGTTGTGGGGAGAGGCAAGCAATGCGTGCACCCTCCAGTCCACACTGTCTATTGTGGCTTCAGGGGATTTAAAGCATAGTCCCCAATATGCTGGTTTACCTAAGGTGATGGGTTTGGTTGGTGTCTTCCCAGCTTGGTGGAGAATATGTCAGGGGTAATTGCTCCATTGTGCTCTTTAGGTATCCTGGCAAGAGCATTCACCTGCCTGTTTTCTAGAGCCGTTTTAAAGCGCTTGACCATCCTTGGCACAGGTGTTCCTTGTAAGGCCTGGGTAGGAAACCTTCCGAAGGTTTCTGAAGTTCTAACCTTTATTTTCTTCCTCACACAGAGTTCGTCCCTAAGGAAGATTTGACAATATATGAATATATCAAGGATCCACAAGTCATGAGGGATCAACTAGGACATTCTAGGGCCTCAGGATCTTCGGCAGCTGTCCAGGAAGATGAAACAGGACAAAGAGAAGGGGACGGGTGTCTTTTCCAGGTGATCTTCAGCTTTCTTCCATCTTTTTTTTTTTTTTTTTCTCCGACAGTTTTACGGCTCTGCCCAAACAGAAAAAGGGAAAAAGAAACGTAGCAGAGAAAACGCAAATGAGGCAGAAGGGGCATCGTGGTGCTGTATTGTATCTGCCGAGAAGGAATGGAACTCAGTAGCCATCACTAGCAGAGGGAAGCATGTGTCTATTACTGCCTTCCCAGACTGCATCCCGGCATCTTCCTCGTTTCAGCTTAGTCTTGCCTGCTGGGCCGAAGGCCAGGATAAGTGCAATAAGTTATAGTTAGAACCGATAAGAACTGTAAAGAATCTCTCTTCAGGGCCAGTTCCCCTTTGTGCATTAGCTGGCTGGGGGCAGCCCCCTTTGCCTGCTTCCTTGTCCTAGCAGTGGAATACTGGACAATAGAAACTACAAAGAAGATGGATTTTCCCACTGCTATTGGGCCTTAGGGCACGTGAATCTACCTGTAGCCACCTGACAGACAAATGCTTATTAAAAACAAACAAACAACCTAGCCTCCTCATAGAATAAATAAAGATGACAGTAGACTAGGTAAAATAAGGAGGTCATAGGAAAGGGGCCTTTTTACACAAAAAAGTAGCTTTTTTTTTTTTTTAAGACAAAAAAGGCCTTTTGAGTACTCTAGCTACCTTTTGACTTGGGGTTCCTCCCTGCATGACCTCAGCCTGTGTCTCTTCACTATCTCCAGGTTTTGCCTTGAAGACCTACATTTCAAGTTTCATATGGCCTCTCTTTGGGCTGCAAATCTAACCTTTCTGGAGACAATTCACATGGGTTTGCACAGAAGAGAAAAGCAACAATCTCCCATTGATCTTCTAGCTGCCAAGAATGGCTTATGTTTCTCTGCTTCTCAACCTCTTTGGAAAGCTCATCTGCTAAAACTAAACTCTCATGGAGGCTTTCCTGACCTCCATGAAATCCCCATTTGGCACTGTGTTCTTGGAGACATGCAAGATGGAATCCTTACATCTCTAAGCGCCTGTGGAGCAGGCATGAGCCGGAGGGAGGCAGGAAAGGCTATGTACTCTCTGACCTTGCTGAGATCAGGCTTTCACTCAGCATTATGACTTCTCTGGGATTGCATTGAGGTCAAGGGTAAGCTGACCATGAGGTCTGGATCTAGAGAGGGGCCTTAAGATTGCCACATCTTTAAAATTCTTGGACCCACTGAATTTCAATGTCCTGAGGAGGAAAAAGCACAAATCTGCCTCTTAGAGCCCTGCCCACCGTCAGTGGTTATGTTGGCAACTTTCAGTCAAAAGTCAGAAAAGTCAAGAAGGGAGTTCTAAAGTTACTAAAGGGAAGGAAGAGACAGGGAGCCTGTCGAGTTATTGACTCCTGGGTGGTTCCTTGCTGCTGGTCCACTGCAAATCACCCTCCTTCCCATCTCTACTCATTCTGGGGTGTTCGATGATGAGGCTCTCCCAGTTTTGCACCTCTCTCCTTTTGGAGACCCCTTCTTCTTTGTGATGTCTCTCACTATTCAGCTCAAGCTTAGACAGAGATTATTATATGTCCCTTTGCTGTTTTCTGTGCAGGAGCAGATGCTGGAGCAGAAATCTCCTGGAAATGGAGGCACCATCTACTCTATGATCCAGTACAAGGTACTCCTCTGGCCTCTAATCTATCCCTTTCCAGGCTAGTCTACTGGGCTTCCTAAGCCTCTCTTAAATCACACAAGTGAATGGAGAATGAGACATTGGTGTTTTCTGGGGCCTGGAAGACAGCCACAGGTGCTTTAGCGAATTGTTTGAAATGATCACTGGACTCAGTGTGTCTTGACAGAGATTTCATTCTTTCACTTCTAGCAGAAGTCTAGATCAGGTTGTCTATGGGAGAATGAACTTTGTTACAGGATTCAGCTTATGTTTTTCCTCTTATTACCCTAATGGTATAATTAATCATTATATTTATTAAGGAAAGAATAAAATGTGTATTGATCTTTTAAAAATCTTATTTAGATTTAACAGTAACGGTCATTTTCTTAATAAATCTCCTTTGGCAGTCTTAAGAAATTTACAAATGTGGAAACCAAGACTCAGGTTGGCTGATGTGTTTAAGGCCACAAAGCTGAAGAGTAAAAAAGAGTTGATCCAAACAGTTTCTCAATTTTCATGCCGCTTCCTCATGCCATACCTCTAACTTCTGACAACACAGAAGTTCACACATTAATTAGAAAGATACTCTATAAGATTGGCAGGTGACATGATTTCATTGCTAACCAGTGTCAGGTGTTCTCTTCCAAAGGGAAATGCTCGGTGGTGGACAGTAGTGAAATGTTTCTGATAAAAACCTTCTGTTCCTGTTTTCTCATCTTCCCTTCTCTCCTCCTCTCTCTTCTCTTCTTCTCTGTCTCTTTTCCTAACCTCTCATTTGTCTTTCCTCTTTTCCTCTACTCTTCCCTCCCCTCTTCTCTTTAAGGACCAAGTTCAGAAACAGGCAAGCCCTCAGCTTTTTGGAAAAATTGTATCACAAAGAAATCCATCCTAAGGGTGATGGATACCTGCCATTTCACTGGCTTTAGTCACACTGGGCCAGAGAGAATAATTTGAATAAATCCGAGGAAGAACTCTTGATCAGAACTCTGAATGAGAATGAGATTCCTCCTCTAAAGCATCTTACCATGGAGATGGTTGCCTGACCTGATAAACATTGTAGTTTAGGTCTAGAGAAGGAAGGAGTTACCAAAAGGAACCATTGAAATGTTAAGCAAACCCTGAAAATTTTGGGTTTGAATTCTTCAACTGTGTGCTGGGGTCATTGCTGTCTTCTTTCTCTTTCTCATTCTTCCTCTTTCCCTTTCCCTCCTTCTTCTGAATCTGTAAACTTGTTTGTGACAGAAGGAACATAGATTTTTTAAGGAATAATATAAGGGTTAGAAAATAAACTATATAGATAAAATAAGTGTTCAACAAATAGTGGTAATCGCCACTAACAGTAACAGTGGGACTAATGCCAGTCACGATTGCTCAGCTACTCCAGGCCTCTTCTCATTAATAAACAGAGATCATCGCTGCCATTTAAGCAGAGAAGGGTTATGCTTGATCTATATTTCTGAAATACTTTGGTTTTTCTTCTTTTTCCTCATTAGCCTCATGATTCCACATCACAAGAAAAAGTTTCAATATATTCAGAAATCCAGCCTTCCAGGAAGGTGAGGTGTCTCTTCCTCTGGAGGGTTCTGTGGAACAGATGTGCATTTTGCGTGTGCACAGTCTGCTGTGTTTGCAGGTGTGTGTGTGTGTGTGTGTGTGTGTGTGTGTGTGTGTGTGTGTGTG